GTTTGGATCCAGATTCTTCAGGGATTATTTTACTTCACACTTTCTTGCAAATGTTTTACCCAAAAGAGGTTTGTAGAGGTACTTGATAGCTGTTTGACCTAGACACTAGGTTAATAGATTTATTTTCATATTTGTTTATTTCAAAATTTATTCGATAGTTCCTTTCAAAGGCAACGGAACGGGGGGGCGCTAAAAGTAGGAAAAAGGGGGATAATTCGTTCCAAAGATCAATTTATCGTTTATAAAATATTCATAATTCCCCGTTATGTGGCTTGAAACAGTTGTTTTAGGTGGTTAACAAGCCACATAACGGGGAATTATGAATATTTTATAAATGATAAACTGATCTTTGGAACGAATTATCCCCCTTTTTCTATTTTTAGCGCCCCCCCCCCCGTTCCGTTGCCTTTGAAAGGAACTATCGAAACGCCGAGGTTTTCCATGTCAAATTTTCTTCAGAACAATTCAGAACGCAGAAAATGCCAAAGAGACTCTAGATTTCACTTTTTCGGTGAGCAAAGGTTCCCACTAGAATTTTGAATACGAGGCGTTTTGAAAGAAATGGGTACCACTGACCAAGGACGAAGGAGGTCTGAGGGCGTCTTCAGGTTGTGAGATTTTAAAATTTAGACCCTCATGTAAAATTATGTTATAAAAGCAGGAAACCTTTCCATTGGTATTTTGTGGTAAGGAGGAAATATTTGCGTTATAATTTCGAGAAATAACCGTCGACTGCCTACGGTATAGACGACGAAAAATCGCCGAGTGCTGGATTCTATTTGGAACCCTGGGGAGCATGCATGCCCCCAGACCCACCCAGAGTTTGTTTAGCCCTCAACCAGACAAATCGTCGGCCACCTATGAGTTCATTTCAGAATTTATTATCTCGATCGTTTGTGATTGGGTAATGACGTATTGTTCGAAGTTTATCACAAAATTTTGGAACAATGTCATTTTCGTACTGTGCATTTCTATAGCGCAAATTAACTAATCGCTTACTGCGCCTAGATTGTGATATTACTTTCACAATATTGTGATATTCACAACGATTGTGATATTACTTTCTTAACTGTGCGTATCTTAACCCACCCTGTCAACTTTCCCTGTGGGAGCTAGAAATCGGGATAAAACCACGACTTTCTGCAGAGCTTTGACTGTCTCTTTTCACATGAGTGGACAGCAAGAGAATCGAACCCACGCTCTCGTAGTTGTCAATATGGGTATAGTTGTCATTTCCAGTAGGGGTGCACCGGATTTGGAATTTTCAAATCCGGCCGGGACCGGATTTACCGGATTTGGACAAAAATTCTGTCCGGATTTGTCGGATTTGAGATAAACCGGTAATGGGGACAATTGGGGATAAATCAGTATTCAAAATGACGGTTTATGTTTTTTACTATTTTTAGTTAGTGTCAGTTTAGATTTTTGATTGTGTTTAAACCTTTTTTAAACATTAATATTAATATTAATATTTTATAATAATATAAGTGGGTTTTTTTAACTATAAAGCTGCCAAATTGATGGTTTATCCCTTCTTGGTGAATTTTTTAAGGTGAAAACAGAAATTTAAATCCGGCCGGATTTTCTCCAAATCCGGCCGGATGCCAGAAAATTCGTTAAATCCGGCCGGATTTGAAATCCCGTGCACCCCTAATTTCCAGTGTATAAAAGGTGGCTGTTAGCATTATTGTGCACTAAGTAGATGTATTTCACTATTTTTCACCCCGTATAGAAAGAGAGCATATCTGAGCAGTCTGACTTTGCGAGGAGTTTTGCAGTGTATCATTACAACGGATTAGCAAAGTGTTGTGGGAAGGAGGATAATAGGAAAAAGGTAACATTTACCGATTTACATGTGGTCAAATGTACACACATATAGTATACAAATAATGAACATTTATTACTGCAACTATGGTAAAAATACTCGCCTATCACTTCGTGAATATAGAAAATTCCATCTTAAATCTTTCACCCCATGAAAATATTTTTACTTTATATTACACCAATATAAATCTCTCTTACTGAATCTATTTTTTATTGAATTTAATACAAAACAAATACATACAGTACCTGAATTGCATGCATTGTACAATGTTTAGAATTAATAGAAATCCGAAAAATATGTTCCAAAATATGTTTCAATGAAGAGTTCATTGCATTCGTTTAATTTATCATTTTGGTAAAAAATATTATTTTTAGTGATTTTTACACCAGCTGTTATGCTTCTCACAAATTTTATATAATTGGGGAATCAAATGACCAGAATTTAATGAGGGTGTTATGTAATACCTTCCTATACAGTGGCTACAATTAACTGCTATCTCTACAGTAGTTATCTTCTTATTCTTGTGTTTAGGTTGTATATTCTGAAGGCGTGTGTACACTGTTATCTGGAGATGTGATATGCTTGTCAGATGGACAATTTCTTAACTGTTTAAGAACTAAGTGGCCATATGTTATTATTGACTGGAAAACTGAACCTAAACCATCTCTTAACTAAGATATTTATGAATGAGGGCACTTCTTCATTTCTGTTTTATGATATAAGGAAATTTAATGTTATACGAAGAGCTTAATGTTATCAGCATATATTTTATTGTCAGACATGCATGTCTTTACTCGCTGTTGTGGTTGTAAATGAATGGGGTACTTGAATGTTGAATAGGGATTACGGTAGCAATATCATTCACAAGAAGTATGACCGCTTTCTTGGGCAGCATAACGTACGTCGTAGCCTCGAGTGTATAAAAAGTCCATCTACACGGTACGCCCAGTCATATACTTTACGATTGTCATTCTGGCGTATGAAAACCACTGCTGATGCCACTATTCTGGCTCGTCAGTTCATGGTGAAATCTCTTTACACGTTTTTATTCGAGTACATGCGCCAGGATAAGAATCGTATACGACTAGACGTATCGTATAGATTGGGCCTTGAAAAGCCCATTTACACTAATCGTGTACGATTCGTATCCTGGCATAATTATGTTTAACAATTAGCCATTTCCCAATTGAGCAGAGGACTGGGCCTAGTTGATGTTTGGAAGGACAACAAACCATTGTTATGGGTTTTTTTTAAACTTAAAGCGTTTCAAATAATTAACAATTATTGGATGAGGTTTTTGTGATATGCGGAATCATCAAATCAAGGTCGAGGTAAGCGTTATCTGCCGAGTCGAAGGCGAGGCTGATAACGCTTACCGAGCGACCTTGATAATTTTGCATATCGCAAAAACCGAATTCAATAATTGTTTTATTATACATTTGTTTATGTTAAATAGATACCGCTTGCTAATCATTGCAAGCTCATTTGCAGATAAGTGTAGGTTGCGTAATTGCGCTTACACTCTCAACGTTTCTGTGGTCACAGTGAGAATAATTTTGCATAATTAAATTCTAAGTTTTAAAGGATTCGTAAGAAATGTTTTAAAAGAACTGTCTCAGGTACGCGGCGTAAACATTAATCACTCCGCTTTGGAGGCAGTGAGTGATGCACTAGAGGTGTGCATCGGATCGGATTGGACGTTTATAATCCGACAATTGCCTAATGTTTAAAATCCGATCCGAAATTGTCTAATCCGAATCCGATCCGAGTTTTGATAAAGAATTCCAATCCGATCCGATCCGAAGAATTCTTTAATAAAATAAATTTCTCATTCAAGTTGAAATATTTAACCAAATAAATATAAAGCAAGAAATACATGTCAAGAAGCTGACAGAGTGACATCAATTGAAGTATCAAACGAATAATGAAACGACAACCGCGATAATGCTTTGATAAATGCATGGATAATAAAATAAATGGATAGGACTCTAGCTGACGTAAGCAAAAACAACCTAGTTGCAATCTGTGACGTCACGCGTATTGCAAAGTTCTCGGCATTTTTGTTGTTTCGCTATACTTTCCGCTTTAGAAGAGTAATATTGAAGCATATACTGGTCTAATTGTTTTAAAAACATGCCTAAGCCACGACAAATATTCAAGGTAAATGTTTTTCGTCTTTGTTTTGTATTTTTTTACATTTGTAGCTACGAAATTGGCGTCCCCAATTTTAACGAAATTTGGGATGCCTTTTTCACTGTTTAGTGCTTGAAATATTTGCTAAAATTGACTGGGAATACTTAAAGATTTCATCGTAGAATGGCGTAGTTATATTCATTTGCTCTTTGACTAAAATGTTTAGCTGTATTATTGCTAAACATGTAGCCTCCTCCGCAGGCATCTCGTGGCGGTACTTACCCAAAATCGGTTAGATTTTCCCCAATTTTCTCCCTGCACAGCAGCCCAATCAGAAAAACATCAGTTATTTATTTGAATAACTAAAGAGATGCCTGCGGAGGAGGCTACTAAACATGCTGTTTTTGAGAATTTGGTTTGCAACTATGTTTCAACATCCAATCAGCCCATTGAAAACATTAGGTCACGTCAGCTAGTTTCTTATCCATTTATTTTATTATCCCATGATAAATGCATGGCGGGATAATTAATTCTTGCGATAATGCGTGGATAATTAATTCATTTTATTTCGGATATCGGAGTCCGATCCGATCCGACTACGAAACGACTTTATCAATCCGATCCGAAATGAATATTTTGGTTCCGAAATCCGAACGGATCCGATCGGATTCGGATCGGTTTCGGATCGGATTTGCACACCTCTAGGAGGCACTCTCCTCCGCAGAGCTTTACGAATTTTTAGTAAATCACGTAATATTAGGGGGGGGGGGGATAATTTACGTAATTGTTAGTCAAAACAAAGTCGAAAGGTATTATGGGAAGACGGAAAAGCGGTCTAACCCCCCCCCCGTCGCGTACCACTAAATATCCTCTACTATCCCTACATTATCCCTACAATCATTGTAAAGGATGTTGTTTAAAAATCGTTTGCGTGGGTTGGAATTAATTAGTCAACTAATTTGCATGCCACCACGGCTTTATATATAGCAGAACTTTTAATTTTAGTTTGCTTTTAATCTCGTGTTAAGCGTGGACATATACCGTATGTATATAGTATTAGATATTGGCTAATCGTTAAAAGGATCTGCGGGGACAGAGGTATGCAGTACGTTGTTATTTTATTTAGTAAATGTTCAGTATGTGGTGGTTTTGTAGTTTTGTGTACACAGGGTGTATCAAAAAAAAGGAGACCTTTAGAAATCAAGCATATTGTTAAAATTTGAGTGCCTTTTGAATCCTGGAGCACTTTGCTAAGCCCACGAGTGCGTAACATGCGATCTACGTATAGTATACATGGCAGATTGTTCCCAGGAGCAGACAATCTTTTGTTTGAACGTTATTTCAATTTCTAAAGGTCTCCTTTTTCTAATATATCACCCCATCAATATTTCACGCACTACGGTTCAGCATATATGTGCAATTGAAAAGGCATTCAAATTTTAACAATATGCTTGATTTCTAAAGGTCTCCTTTTTTTTTATACCCCCTGTATAGATAATGTAGTTTATTCTTTGTATAGTTTTTACGTACTGTCGAAGGGCAACGAAATATAAGATAAAAGATTGGTTAAAATCAAAGCGTACGTTGTCTGCCAACGGTTCAGTAAACCACAGCCGCATCTCAAGTTCGATCCTTTATAGTAAAAACTCTCCCGAACGAACGATGCTATAACAGGGCCGTAGGAAGCTCTTTTCGATTGGGGGGCTGAAAGCGAGGGCCGAAGGCCCGAGGAAATTTTTAAATTTAGAGTCTCTAAAATGCCATTTCCTGGACTTTGGGGAAGATTTAACAGAATTCTGATAGTCAGAAAACAGCGTTTTAGTATGTCGAAATTTACAGGAAAGTATGGGCCAGACTGTAGTATTATAAATGCGCGGCGGGAATTTTCGTCGTAAATGGCAGTTGCGCGGAAATGAAGGCAGAACATTTGAGAAAATTTCGAAAATCTGGAGTCTCTAGATGGTCTGAAATGGCATTTTCAGAGTTTTCTTTCGCAAGACCCAACACGCAAAAGACAAAATAAATCATTAGTTCATCAAAAAAGTGCAGATTTTGTGGGATTTTCTTGAAAATGCGCGACAGAAATTCAGCTAAAATTTCTACGCGAGGAACGATCTGGAGTATGAGTAATATCTTCATTCTTTGCAGTTTGTCACAGATTAAATGATAAAGTTTGCATGATTTTGAAAAAAGAATGATTATTAGCAAATTATTGGGGGGGCTGCAGCCCCCCAGCCCCCCCCCGGTTGCTACGGCCCTGTATAAGAATATTTACCTGGTCTGATGAACAATGCCGTAAAGTTGTTTATCTGCATGGTCTAATGAACAATACTGTTAGAGTTGGTATTAATATGTCTGACCTTCAAGAGAATACAGATTCATCGCTTCTCGCGGCTAAAAACCCTCGCGATGAAAGGAAAGAAGACATCGTTAGCCATCAAAGCGAACCTGGTCCTAGAATGAGTCAACGTTCAAGGGTACCGACTATTAAGGGAAACGAATACCAAGATTATCAGTTACAACGGGACTATATGACTGCAATAAGAGCATGGCGAAAACAAGCAAATAAAGCCAGGGCCTTTTTTAAGGATTTTCCCGTGGGGGGGCATTTTTTAAAAGGGACCTTTCTGTGAGATAATATATTAGAGGGGGATAGCAATGGCAGCCACGTGTGTGGCAAATATACCACGCATGAATGGGGCGTCTGGGGGTGTACTCCCCCAGAAAATTTTTGAAATTTGACTCCCGGAAATGTCATTTCCTGCATTCTGAGCATCCAAATTTGCTCCAAAATTTATCCTAACTATACTTGTATTTGAAATAAATAAAGGAAGAAACGCACAAAAAGTAAAAAAAAATTAACCATCATTTATCATTATTTATTAGAGGAGGATAGCAATGGTCAGGTGTGTGGGAGTGTACTCCCCCAGAAAATTGTTGAAATTTGAACCAAGGAAATGCCATTTCCTGCATTCTGAGCATCCAAATTTGCTCTAAAATTTATGCTAACTATAGTTGTATTTGAAATAAAAGATGGAAAAATGCACAAAAAGTAAAAAAGAATATTAACTGTAATTTATCATTACTTATTAGAGGGATAATCCCAAGAAAATGTTTGAAATTTGAAACCGTGAAATGCTATTTCCTGCATTCTGAGCATCCAAAAAATAAAAAAAATATTAACAATAATTTATCATGGCTTAGTGGTAAAAAAAGTAACAATTTAAATCGATTTTGTGAAACAAGAACAAAGGATAAAGCCTAAAACTTACTTTCCGTTTATCTATTTGTTAATCTTCGCTGGATTGTTTGTATAATATTAGGAAAAAGGGACTTTTCCTGGGGGGCAAAATGTGATTTCGTGGGGGGGCACAAGGGGGGACTGGGGGGGGGGGGCAAATGCCCCCCCAGCTTGTATGTTAAAAAAGGCCCTGATTGCGATTCCCGCCTGGTTCATCACTTGCAAGTGGTAGTATTACTGAGTAAACGTGGCAAATAGTTGCTAGACTACCTGAAGCACATAGACATAGATTTTTGCCTTC